ACATCTGCGATCGATCCCTATTTCTTTAAACTTAAATGGATTCCAATTCCTGCTTTCAGGGTCTTTCTATTTGGTCCAGAGCAAGGGGGAAGAACAGGAGCGTAACTACTCAACTATGCAGGTGAACTTGGAGGTGGCCTGCAGCTCTCCTCTCTCTTCTCTCCTTCCACACCTAACCCAGACCCTGGGGCTGCCATGGAGGGCAGCAGGAAACGAAGGCCGGGAGTCTCGGCCCGCAGGGCGGACCAAGGAGGGCTGGGTCACTCTGTCAGAAGCCACCGTCGCTGGGCTTCAGAGAGAACGGGAGAATGCGTGTGTGTGTGCGCCCGTGTTAGGGGGTCACAAAGGGGGAAGAATCATTCACCAGCTATTCACTCTGAGCCCCAGGACCCCGCCTCCTCTTCCTTTTGAAAGACAAGTTGAACTTTCCAAGGGCGATTCCATAGCCTTTCATCTCTCACCCTGAAAGTAATTTCAGCCAAGGAAAAGCAGGATTAAACTTTCATAACGCGATACATTTATCTTGTTTTTCCTTCTTTCTTTTCTCTGTCCTCCCTTCCCCTCACTCATGACCCTAGGTAAAGTGAGCCAAAGGGAGGCTGAGATTAAATACCAGAGCATGGTATCAGATCTGAAGAGGTGCTGCTCTCTGGCCCCCTGTCCATCCAAAAACTTCAATATTTCCCATTCCCTGTTAGACAGTTATTATCTCCCAGATGAGAGAAGCCGCTGGGCCCTGCTCTCTGGCAATATTGTCCTTTGCTGAAATGAAAGGGGGAATTAGAATTCAGAGAAAGGCTCCCATGGAGAGTAGGAAGACAAAGATTAAATCACTGATACGCTGACCTGCATTCAGTTCCTCAAAGGGCTTTTTAAAAAAAGTCTCCTCCCGAGCAGTTTGGCAGCCACCTGAGAGTGTTTTGAACACCTGCATTTTGGGAGTTAGAGAAAGGGCAGGCATGTGAAGGTGTCTCAGGGACAGGCCAAGGCCCGGTCTTGCTGACAAAGGAAGGTGAGGGCCTCTTGGCGGATGGTGGGGGCTGGCCGGCCTGCAGTGGGCTCGTGCCCACCCTGGACTGGCCAGTGCACGGCCTCTGCCTGGGCTGCTGAATGCAGCAGGCAGCTTCCACTGCCCCGCGCAACCTCTCCCCCTGCCTGCCGAGACCCCGCCAGCTGCGGTCTCTGGATAGTGACAGCTGAGAGTCTCCGACACCCCCCGCCCCCCAAAACACAAAAGCCACTGTCTCCAGCCCAGCCTAGTTCTCACGAGTCCCCTCTAGTGGAGAAAACCTGCTACTTCCGCTTCCAGTGAGCCCAGCTCCTCACCAGGCCTGGCAGCCAGGGAAGAGCCCTGTCTGCTCCCAGCTCCTTCTGCCCAGCACTCTGTCCCTCTCTGCCCTGTCCCTCGCCTCTCTCCGCTCATCTGCAAGGCCCCTGTCGATGTCTTGACCTCTGTCTTTCCACATGCACCTTTGTGCCTGCATCTCGAGCTGCTTCTCCGGTCTACCTGCTGCTTTTTGCCCAAGTGCAGGACCTTGGGGCTGGCCAGCAAAGTGTGTCAGGAGGCCCTGGGGTCAAAGGGCCTAAGCGCAGAGGACGGCATCGGGGCCCCCAACTCTGAGCCAAAAACAAGGCGGGGGAGCAGGCTTTCCTGGGGACCACGGGGCACCCCCCCACACTCCACCCCAGCCGTTCGGGCCCCACTCCCAAGTTAACGTGGGCCTAACAGGTTTGTCTGTATTCCTGCAGATGGCTGTCTTCCCCGAGCTCCTGCCTCGGGGTCCTGCGGGAAACCAGCCCTCTTCCCTTTGATGCAGTCTTCCTACCACCTGCCTGCCTCCCAGTCCGGACCCGAAGGCCGCAGCTCAAGGGCAGGAGAGGAGGGGGGGTGGGGGCCGAGCAGGCCAGGGGAGACAGAGCAAACAGTGTGGCAGGAGGGCCAGGAGGACACCAGCTGGTCCAGGCTTCCCGGGCAGGAGGAGGGCCCGGACAGGGCAGGAGGTTAATAGTTAACTGCTCAGGCCGAGCCTCTCCCTGCAGCTCACCCCTTCCTCCCCTCCTGACACTCTAACCCACAGGGGACCTGCTGCCCAGCAAAGAACTTCTCACCTCTGTCTCCACCCTGGAATTCCAGATGGAGCAGCGTGGGCTCCAGGTGCCCCAGTACCAGGGAGCAGGCCCCAGGGCCGAGAGCTGAGCAGAGGGGAGGGCGCTCCCTTCCTGCCAGCCACCCCGGCGATGGATGCCCGCCTTGGGACAGCTGTTTGACCCTGGAAGGGACTGCCTTGTCTCTTCTGTCTGCCTGCACCGGGCTCACCTTCAGAAATGACCAAAAAAACCAGGGGACACCCACCCACCCCTCACTGACCCTAATCAGGCATGAAATCTTTGCAACTATGTGAGAAAGCTGTTTCCCACAAGGGATGGGGTCCCATTCCTCACTGTTTGAACGGAGCATATGCACAGGCAGAGGAGACTCCCACACAGAAGGAGTGGCTAACAGGCCGGCCCTGGGCTCGGGTGGGGAGTGCTCAGGAGCTGGGTCCCACCGTGTCTCTCAGGACAGCATGAACTATTTCTAGTTAACGGACTGGACTGTAACACAATGCCCGTCTCCTTATGAGGGGACAGGGTGGGGTGGGCTGCCTGGCTCCGGACCCTCGCCTCTCCATTTGCCACGATGGACAGAAGTATCTGGGGCCCCATCTGTGACAGCTGTGTGCAATGCATGAAGACAGCTGGGGGGGGGGTGGAGACAGGAACCGCCTCCCACACAAAACCCTGTTTGGGGAGGCAGTCGCAGAACACGGGGTAGAACAGAAACTCTGAGACCCCCAAGCAGTGACAGCTCAGCACCTGAAATCTGTCACAGTACCTGAACTGGCAGTGTTGGCTACTGCCAGCTGCCGCCTTGTATATTTAACTGTGTTACTGGCTCCCCCTCCTGCTCCTGTGTTTTCTTGTAACATGCCCATGAAATAAAGATTAGCTGAATAATCAGAAGTATCTGTAAAAGGGAAGGGGACCTAGCAGAGAAAAGGCTGTTCTTTGAGGATTTTCTTGCTAACCTCATTTTGAGCCCAGACTCCTGCAAAACAGATGGGGAACTTTTACCCTGTCCACATCTGCAGCTTCCGACGGTCCAGAGAGGGAGGGTGGGTGTGCACCAGAGGCAGGGGAGGGATCGGCCGGAGCTGACGGGAGGGCCTTGGGATCGCTCGGTCTTAAGTGACAGGCCTGCGAAGTCACCATGGGCTCTGCACTTGGACTGGGGCAGGAAGGGCCTCCTGGGCTCCTGTCCTCATTCCCCTCGAGCACAGGACCAGCTGGGATTGATTCCCTCCCAGACCTGTGGTCCCTGGGCAGAGGAGACCTCTTGGTTCTTTACCACCCAGCTCCTGCTGCTTCTGGCAGCGTGTCACTCAAATGCCATTTCCATTTAGCTGCTTTGCAAGCCAATTTGCCCCCACCCTAATGCAATTTGCTGGAGACAGAGAGGGAGCAGAAAGGGCAGTGGCACCGCCTGCTTGATCAGCAGGCCCTGAGGAGGGCCGGGCCTGGGACAGAGGAACCGCTGGGCTTGGGAATGCCGCTGGTGGCAGCAGGGGCAGTGCTGGGGGGAGTTGACAGACTCGAGGCACAAACTCCTGGGGTACCTTGGCCGAGTCTTCCTGTCTCCTTGGTTCCCTACCCTCTCCGCAGGCCCTCACTCCTAGGCCACCAAGGAGAGATCACAGCTAATTAGTTCCATGGCGCGGGTAAGGACAGACAGAGGCAATGAATGCTTCTTTCCTCCTGCTTGGAGGTCAGAGGGGAGGGGAGAGCAGGCTGGGAGTGCTGGGGTGGTGCATTTCAGTCAGGGGCAGCCCAACTCCTCCTGCAGGACTGGCTCCCCAGGGGACTCGTCGCTCAGCAGGAGACCCCAGAATCCCAAGCCCATGGGGCAGAGGGAAGTTCCTAGGGCTGGGAAGGAAGGCTAGCAAGAACGGGGCCTACTGCCTTCGGGGTTGGACCTGACTCCCGCCCGGTCCACCGGGCATCACCTTGGCGAGCCCGGTCCCCTGCGCCGCCCAACAGAAGGGGTGGACGCTCCGGCTGGTGGACTCTGCTACCTCCTCCAGCTAAGCGGCTACCACGCTCGGCTTTCCGTTCTAGACCTGTAGCTGCCCAGCATGCTCAGCCCTCCCAGCGCCCTCTCCCTAGCCCCACTCGGGAGCCTCAGAGCAGGGGAGGGCGCTCTTCCCAGGGCAAGGGTCCGGCCACACAGGTGGACGTGTTTCGGAGCCTCCAGTGGCCGTTTCTGGCAACTCTCACGGCCACCTTGGTCCCCATGGACACCCCATACTACCCGTGGGGCGGATGTGACAACCAGACTCCCCAAGACCCTATTCCACTTGTGAGGCGGGGCAAAAGGGAGCACATGGAGGGAAATATTCTCAGAGGCGCTGTGAGGGGCCTCTCGGACCTGGGAGAATCCCCCTGAACCCTAGGCTCCTCTTGTTCAAATCGGGGAATGGTCCCCAGGACGCGACAAGAAATGGGGGTGGAGGCACGGGGCTGATCCCCATCCAGTGCCTTGGGGTCATTTTCCAAAGCCAGGAACTGGAGGGAAGGGTGATCTTCCCTTTCCCTGACTCCAAATCCCCGACCCCAGGAACAGCCAGCCACATCCGTAGTGAACGCCCCCGAATCAATCCATCGCTGGCCACAACACAGTGGCCTCGGCCGTCTGGCCTCCGCCCCCGAGGCCCTCCCGGACCCGCTCTGGGACGGCCCGCGCCCCCTGTTCTTCTGAGCCGCGGGCGCCAGCAGGTGCGTGGCCAGACGCCCGAGGCCGGCGGGAGGCGCGGGGCGGAGAGTCCCAGGCACTCCCCGCGCACGCCGCGCTCCGGCCGCGAAAGTGGCCGAGCTGGGTGCTGGGGCCGGGCCGGGAGGCCGCGCGGGGAGCCGCGGGGGTGCGCGCGTTCGGGGCGACTGGGGCGCCCGGGCCCGCCACTTACCCGGCTGGGCGACGTCGGTCTGTCCTTCCGCCGGCAGCCGGCTGCCGTCCGCGCGCAGCCCGGGATCACGGCCACGGCCGCGGCCACATCCACTCGGAGTCCGGGTGCATTAAACCCACGTCCGCTGCCTGCCGCTTATCTGTATTCCAGGGTGGCCGCCCGGGCTCCTCCGCGCCCGGTAGCCTGGCCAGGCGCAGCCAGCGCCGGCTCCGGGCTCCGAGCTCCGAGGGGCGCGGGGGTGGACAGCGGTGCCTCCGCGGGGCGAGCGGCAGAGCCCCGCTGCTGTCTTCAGATTTTTCCGGCTCGACTTTCCGGGCTCTCTGACATCAGCAGCCGCGGCGCTTCCTTCCTCCGCGCAGCTCCGCGGCGCGCGGCCCCACTTCCTCGGGAAGCCGGCTCCGGTCCCCGCCCGGGCTCGCGGCTCTGGAGAAGCAGCTGCGTCGGCCTCGCCCGCCCCGAGCTGCTCAGGCGGCGGCGCCCGCGTCCTATATCGCGGAGCGGCTCATTATCATAGAGGCCGCGCCCCGCCCGCGCGCTCCTCCCCGCGGCCCACAAAGGCGCCGCGCGCCCGGCCTCCCCGCCTTCAGCGCCAAAGGGCAGGAGGCGCGCGGGGCCCGGGCACCGGTCCGGCCTCCCTCGCCTCGGCTGGCCGGAGGAGCAGACAGGGGGCGCTCGGGGCGCAGCAGGGCCGAGGCTCGGACGGCGCCCCGCGTCACCTGTCAGCGCGGTCGAGCCCAGCCTGGCGCGGGGTCGGCTCTGCGGAGCCGGCGGTCTCCGGGGTTCGGCGCCGCCGGACGAGACTGAAGTTGTTGGTTGTTACTACGGCAGTGCGGCTGGCCGCGCCTCAAGTGTCCAGCGGGTTAGGGTCCTGGGCATCGGGCGAGCCCGGCTCAGGTGGAAGGGGGCGTGGGGACCGGGGGCGACCTCCGTCCAGACCTGGGGGACCCAGCGGCCGCGAGGCGGGTCGGGTACTTGGCTCAACGACCTAAGGAGACGTGTCTGGGTTTCGGGGACGGTGTCCCCCGATGCCCCCGGGGCCCGTGGGCACGGATTCCGCGCCACCTCGCGTGCGCATCCCCGCAGCCTCTGGATTTGGCTTTCAGAACAGGGGCCTGTGAGCCAGACCCAGCGGGTTCGCAGGAGCTGCCGGACCCGGCTCCCACGCGAGTCTGCTCACCAGGTCCGGGGAGTAGGGTGGGCTTGCTCTACTGCCCCCTCGTGGCCACGGTCCTCTCCTCGGAGGTGTGAACAGAAAAAACCGACTCCCGTGAATTCACACGCGGCGGGCCTCAGAAAGAGAAAGGAGGCCACCAATCATCTCCGATGCCTCTCCACTCAGTGCAGGATCGGGGGAACCTAGGGTTTACTCCAATTAGCTAATTCTTCAGAAATTGTGGACAAGTCGCCCAAGTCTTCAAAAGCTCTCCGTGTAATTAATTAGCTTAAGTTGGTGTCCTGGGGCTTCCACTGGTTACTCCTGACTCTGTCCTGGAGGTCCAGAGTCTAAGACTCGAATCCGTCCTGTCTCTTTCTCGGATCTTCTCAACACTTCAGCAGTTCTGTTTATCCGGTGCTGTTACTCATTTGTCAGGATAAGTGGATCTACCTCCTTGTCCACAGTCTTGCTGCCTTCTTACATCGGAGTCGACAGAATCTAAACCACACCTTATTAAAGAAGATCCGGAGGTGTGGGGAATGCTGTCCTATTTGCTTCATGCAGCATCAGTCTGCCTGCTACACCTGTCAGCATTCGAGGTCAGCTGCAGACATTTGGCTGGTAAAGCTGACAGCTAAAAACCAGGGCAGAGGGTCCACCTCTGCCCCTGCCTCAACTTAATCCCATCTTGGAAGATTGTAATACAATTTAAATAATTTTCAGATAGGATCTCCCCACCTGAGTGTTGCAGAAATAAGTCCTAGAATGAAGAGCAAGGGAGCATACAATAAAATAGATGCCCTCACTCGCCTCGTTGTTCACCCTGGACTTCTCCCCTTCCCAAGAACAGGGAGCAAAAGGGAGAAAGATGGAGAGAGGAGTGCTCATGGGCAGAAGAACACGGTGCAGCTAGGGTGACACAGTGCCACCCAGTTTCCATGCCGACACTGGACAGCGTGGGAGAGCTGAGTCCCCCAGGACCCTGGGAGCATGTGGGGTGAGTACCAGGACGGGAAGAACCCACCTGAGCTGCTTTGAGGTGCCCTGGATGGACCCTTAAATTCCCTAGGTCTCTGTCTGTAAAATGGGGATTTTTACCTTCCGTGACCTGAGAGCTGAATTAAAATGCCCTCATGGAAAAGTTTTTGAAGAATTGATAGTGTCATTAAAAAAAAAGAAGATTGTTGCTACTTTCAGTCTTAATAGGCGAGGATAAATATTGATCTTATTACTTAAGGATACAACTATAATATACTTTGGGAATTAAAAAGAAACTCAGATTGATGATTTGTATTTAGAGCTAACTCCTCCAAGCATGGGCCATAGTTTCCGTCTCTGTCCTGTAAGGTGCTCAGGTAAACCTGCTCCTTTGATCACTCCTGTCAGTTCACTCATGAATGTTTGTTAAAGAGCAAATATACTGCAATGTGTTAGTAGAATTGTATGTAGTACATAGTGACCTATTCAGAACATTAAAGAAATGCTTTTGAGATAGAGTCTCACTGTGTAGCCCAGGGTGGCCTTGAACTCACAGCGGTCCTCCTGCCTCAGTCTCTCGAGTGCTGGGACTACAGGCCTGCACCACCACACCTGGCCTCAGAGCATTAAACAATTTAATGTGTAAGGATTGCACCTATCTGTGGGTTGTCCACAGTGGGATTACTTTGCTATATAAATGTGTAATGATCAAATCCGGATAACTAGCATATAGTCACGTCAGACATTATTCCCTGTGTTGAGAACATTCAGTCTTCTGCTATTTTGAAACAAACATTAGGTTACCGGTAACTGTAGCTGTCCTACTGTGCTATAGAACACTAGGACTTAATCTCCCATCTAACCATAGTGCTCTCTCTGGTAACCAAGTGCTTGCCTGCCCCTCCTTTCTCTTCCCCCTTTCAGAGTCTAGTAACAGCCACTCTACTCTCCACATCTACGAAATCCACTTCTTAAATTTCTGAATATGAGTGGTGACGACATGCAGCATTTGGAGACATGAAGCTGGGCTTCTTTCACTTACCCCGAGGCCCTCAGGGGCTCCACATCATTCACAGAGAGTTATAGGAGCGCACTCTTTTTAAGTGGCTGCATACTATTCCAGTATTTAGCATGGTTTTTTAAGTGCACCATTTACCGACAGACTCTAGGCTCAGACTGTTCTTCATGAGATCTGGTCTTCTTCTATCTACCCAGCCTGCTGCTGCTCTGTTTCAACCTGTCCAGCTGATGTCAATGCCAGACCCCTCACTGGTACCTTGCAGTTCATCCCCACTTGGTGAGGAGGGACAGCCCCAGCTGGGCTCAGCTCTGGGAAAGCAGGCACGGAGTAAATATTTATCAGTGAACGAGTGAACAAATGGGGTCATGTGTACGGCAGACCCTCAGTTTGGGAACACTGTCACAAGCTCCTCCCCGCCCTGGCCATTCCCAGAACCTCAGCCTACAGTGTCATTTGTGGCACCCGTACAGTTAACCCTGGCCCAGGTCCCTTGGTCGGTCACAGGTCACTAGGTGGGTGACCTAGGGTGACCCAAGTAGAAGAGAACAAGGCCTGCATCCTGGCGTAGAGCTGGATTTTTCCAGTGGGAACTGAGGATTTCTGCACGAGGCAGGTCTGGCCAAGCAAGCAGCTCCACCTTCGTGTCCGGGCGGGGAGCGGCCCCTCAGGTCCTGGGAAGCAGCCCTTGTGCTGGGGAGCAACTGGCCCTCCCCGGGGAAGTCCTCCCTGTCACGCAGCGGCCTCAGTCTGCACATAGACGCCAGCACGGTAGCCCCTTGGATCCTAGGAGGTATTTTTGGCGCTGAAGCTGGCCGGCTTTGCCAGGCTTTCCGCCCCAGGCGGCTTCTTCCAGGGTGGGGGTGGGGGCAGGCAGCCAGCCCCACTCTGCACGGAGCGCTCTGTGCGTGTGAGTGAGTGTGAGCACGCGTACACTGAGGGCTCCCGGAGGCGGGCGCTGGGCAGGGGAGCTGTGCTGGCCACAGTGGGAGGCGAGTGAGCTCTCGCTGTGCCTGCTGTCGCCAGCCGGGCGTCTGCGCCCCTTCGTGCCACCGCCGACACAGCCTGTCTCTGATGGAAGGCCAACGCCAGCTTCCTCATGCCCGCTCTGGGGCCTGCCCCTCAGGAGGCAGGGACATGTCCCCTTGTATGGCCCCTGCGTGCCCCGGGCAGCACCTCACCTTCACCCTGCAGCCCCATGGGGGAGTCCCCACCCCCCTCTGTGGGGAGCAAAGGCGTCGGCCTGACAGGCCGGGCTGCGGCCAGTGGGCCTAGTCCCATGAGTGGAAGCGAGAGGCTGCCGGGCTGCCAAGGCGGCGGGCCTCTCCCGGGCAACGGGGCCAGGCCCTGCGTGCAGGGACAGGGCACCTTCTCCGGGCTTCTCTGCACCGTTCATAAGGACGCCGCCT